AATTATACTGAGCATATTGATATGAACTCAACTATAGTGGTTTGCAAACCTTGGTTTATGCACTAAACTGTTGCACTAAGTCAGCTAAATCATAATTTTTACAAATCACAGTTAAACAAACAATAGATTTGTGCAATATGTCCATCTGGTTACTAAATTTGCACTCCAAAATAAAAACAAAATGCATTTTCTAAGGAGAAGCCAGTATATTTGTAACAAATTGTAAAAATTGCAATCTTATATTACAGTACTATGCTGCAAGAAATACACATTTTACCTAAAGAATGGATTAATTGCCAGTTCTAGGACTTGGAATGGACAAACATATTAGTGGATATTGAATAAAGCAATGTGGAAGAGCTATTATTAGGAATCTTAAAATTGATGTTGAATATAAACATTATACAAGTGAAATATATTTTTTTACAATTAAGGAAGCAAATCACACTATCTCTCTTATTTTTTAAAACAAAATGTATTAAGTTTTTAAAAAAACATTATAAACTAACACAAATCACAGATAGTCCTCAATTTACAGCCATAATTGAGCCTGCAATTTCTGTCATAAGTCATGATAATTATAAAGCAGATCATCTCATGGCCATGCCCGATTTTACGAGCTTTTTATGATGTGTTAAGTGAATACCACAGTTGTTTAGCATATACCGTGATTTTTAAGCAAATCCACTATTCATTAGGGGACATTTTTTTGCCAGAAACGGGAAATAAACAATGATTTCTGGAAAAATATTGTAAATTGTGGTCACATAATCACAGGAGGCTGCAAAATGGCGGTAACTGTGGGATGTTATTGCCAAGCACCCAAAATGTGGTCAATTGACTGCAGGGGCCCTGGATATTAGAACATTTTATTTATTTTGTTTTATTCTAATTTTATAAATTAGAAAAAGTAAGACCCTTTTTTGGGGTTCATCATAATTTTGAACGGTTGCTAAGCAATCAAGTTGAGGACTAACAGCAATACAAAGCAGAGAGAACAAAGAAAGAAAAACAAAAGAAAAAAAATAAAAGTACACTGGGAAACTATTATGATTGTCCTACTAAAAACCACTGAAATATTTCATATGTGGTTGTTTCACAAAACTGTCTTCTGCCTACTATCCATATCCAACCAAACTCAAGATTTTCAATTAGACAGAAGCACTCCAAAACAATTTTTTTCTCAAAACTGGAAAGAATTGTTTAGCAGATATTTGGCATCTTTTAAATTAAAAACATGGAACATATTCTTTTTTCATACGTTACTCAAAACTGTTTTAGATAAGTTTTTTTTCCCCTCTGCTTTGGTGGATCACATTATGGACTCTTCTGTAGGCCCTATTGCAATTGCAAATTGTGCTCCCATGACTTTAACTCAGAAAATTAATAATTATAAGTGAGTTGATTCCAGGTGGCTCTTGAATTATTTCTCTCTGTAAAGACACACTTCCTGTGAATTATATGAAGAAGGAAAATTGTGCCTTTTTTAAATTAATCAGGAATCAATTAATACTCTAACATGATAGAATGCATTTAAGGCATTTATTATGGGATCTAAAATATTGGTGCTTTGGCTGCAGCAAAAGAGAGAAACTGTCATTTTATACAGTTTGAACAGATGGTTGTGGATTCACTTTTGTTATATGCTAGTAATCCCACAGATGAATCATATCAAGTTATTTACAGCAACAAAGTTTACATTCAAAACAATCTGAATGTTCTTTGAACTGTACTGACGACCAGAAATCATTTCATGAACACATAATCAATCATCACCATATGCTACGCACTTCTGCCAACAATGGACATGCTTCTAAAAGCAATCACAAAAGAATGCCACACTTTGTAATTTTAGTTTTAAATACATACATTAATTCAAAAAATTTTAAAGACTAACACAAAATTGAAACCAGAAATATTCCTTTTGGGACTGATGGATAAGTAGTTTGGGGGGGTGGGGAAACTCATGGAACTCTGTTGTACTATATGATAATAGCAGAAAGATTTTTATATCCACAACAGTGGAAAGGTTTGACTATATTTACAATGGAAGTTTGGTGAAGTTGATGGAGTTGGGTGAGATGGCAAGATACCTTTAATCAGAGAAATGACATTAACTTTATTGCTGATTGAAAGCCTCTTCTGGACTCTTTCCCAAAAGGGGGGGGGGGAGAGATGAAATTATGATATCTGGATTTGATGATTAGAAAAAAACAGAGATAATGGAAAAAATGAAAGTCATGTTGTAAACTTAGAGTAAGAGCTTAATATATACTTATTTATGTTGTAGTCCTTGACTTACAACCGGTCACTTAGCAACTGTTCAAAGATATAACGGACCCAAAAGAGGGACTTACAACACGGATTCAAAATTCCAGTGTCTGCACCCCTGCTGTCACATGACTGAATTTGGGGTGCTCAACAACCAGCCCACATTTATGGCAGTTTGCAGCATCCAGCAGTCATGTGACCATGATTTACACCATTTTTGCAAAAAACTGGCATTTACTTCCAGTTTCCGGCAAAAAAAAACAAAACAGAAAAAATGGGTTCACTTAACAAAAGCCATATTTGCTTAAGGATTGCCACATTTGCTTAACAACCACTGCAAAAAAAAATAATCAAGCAGAATCATGTGGTGATCCGTTTTACAATCATCATGACTTATGACCAAAAGTGCCAGCCCAATTACAGTCACGAGGACCTATAAAAAAAAAAGTCAGAAGTCTTTGTATTTCTCATTTCTTTCCTTTTCTTTCTGCACTTTTCGTTTTGTTTTCTCTTTCATTCTTTACTTTTCCCTCTCTTCTGTTTCAATTGGTACTTTTTGTTAGTTTTTATTTATTTTAAAATTTAATAAAGTTATTAAAAAGAGAGAATTCCCTACTTTGCCACCACAATCAGGTGCTGAGAATCTTTTCCATCACATAGAAATATCCTTGAGCATATTCCTTCAATTTTGGAAAAAGCGTGGAATGGCAACAAAACTGGGCAAATCTGGGTAGGATGGTTAGATGGACATTCTCTTGGATGTCTCAGTTTTGTTGTGTTGCAGCGACAACTCCTTCTTGTGCTCCAAAACTCCACTTATAGTTGCTTCAAAATGTTGACTATTGCAGTGTAATGCTCTAAGTTGACAGGGATGCCAAGCTGAAGGAAAATCATAAGAAAAACACCATCTGCATCCCTCAAAACTGTCATCATGAATTTTCTTGCCAAAACCTCTTTTTGTTATTCTTTTTTTTCCCACAGGTGAAGCTGTGTGATGATATCCTTTGAACTGCCATTTCATTTCTAGGTCATAATAATAAGCGGATGTTTCGACAGCTGTCATGATGTGGGAAGAAATTCCTCACCTTTATTTTTGTAGCATGACACCAACTGCTGCCAAATTTTAACTCCTGAAGCTGTCATCTTTGCCATCAGCATTCAAGCAACCTATCTAACACAAACCTATGGAAGAATATCAATAATGCAGCCCATGTGTGCCTACAAAATGCCAAGCATAACAACAGTTTCTCCTTGGGCAATCCTTCTGTTGTCTAAATCAGTTCATCAGCCATTCTCTGAAAAAGCTGTCAGCTGCTGTCAAAAATCATCCAGTTTGTTTTTCCTAGTTCATCTGTCAAGCACAGGAAATCAGGAGTCCAGGCAGTTCAAATGAATATAGGTTTAATGCTCTCTACAAGAATCTGAACTATTAATGGTCAAAGCAAATTCGCGGTAGATAAAAGTCAATGGAATTCAAGGTGGGCTTGACTTAGATCTCTTGTGGATATGAAGGGACTTGAGACTGATTGATCCCTCCTTCGGGGTCTCCTACATCACCATTTTACATTTTTGGGCCCAGTGATGCACAGTACTCATGTCAATATCATCATCATCATCATCAACAACAACAACAACAATCTGCATTCAGCAGTGGTTTTCAAGTGGAAATTAGCAATCAAACATCCAAACATGATGCAATTGCTTAAAATGCACTGATAAGTATTGCTGCAGGCTTCCACTGCACACACAATAGCAGCATAACTGTTTCTTCTAGCAACTTACCATCAATTGGAATGAAAGAACAAGTGCTAAGAATATGTCAGAGTTTCTTGTGCATCAGTACTTCCATCAACTGGCAATGTATAACTTTGGAGGCACTACTCTTCTTTACATCCTCATATTCAGGGCTTTCTCCTTCACTATTTCATGTACTCCCATTTATGTGTCACTATTTTAAAAAAATCAATTTTTTAAAAAAAATATTCAGGAAAGTCTTTAAAACAGTTTTCTTTCAATAGGTTTTTGGACCCTAGGATTATCCAAGCCATGGCTATTATTATTTGCTATTATACATATTATTGTTTATTGGATTGTTTGAATGGTTGGGATAATCTGCCTTGGTTTGTTCATATACACTGCCCAGAGCTAGTCAGCTCTGTATAAATGTTATTAAATGAACAAACACACAAAAGAAATTCCCAGGTCTTGCTTAGAAAAGCTCAAAAAAAAAAAAAGAATTTCCAAACACATCTCAGAAAAAAAAACTGTTTCTACTTCTACCTCTGTCTTGATCTATCATTTTCTTTCACATTGTTTTGTTTTATACAATTATTATTAAGTAAGCAGTCCATGAACTAAGTCTATGACAAAGAAGGTTAGTATAACTTTCAGGAGTTTCAAACTGTATTAGCATAGAGATGCTTCTATACCAGTAAGCATGTTCAGCTGTGGATAATGGGAGCTATAAACCAAGAAAAAGAGGTCTCAAGTCTCTTCTTTCTGCTATGCATTCAAAATGCTCAGTGATTAATATATATGTGTATGTGTGTAAGCACATATATGTATATATACACCATATGTATATATGTGTGTGTGTATGGGTATGGGTATTTTTTTTCTTTTGAGAGCGGGCATCAGAATTTCATTTTTAATATGTGCCAGTATGTTCACGGAAAAAATGACAATAAAGGTTATTTATCTCATTTCATCTTATCTTATATGTGACTCACCATCCATAACCTCTCCTAGCCATATTAGGAAGCTCTAAGTTCTCCATTTCTACTAAAAGGCAACAGACATGGAGAAGGCTAGGTTGGCATGGCAGGCAGTTCACAATTTATGATCATAACTGAGCCCACAATTTTGGTAATAAGTTGTGAAATTCCTAAATTGGGTCATCATGTGATGGTTTCATGACCTTTTTTGCACCATATCGGTGATGGTAAAGCAAATAGCAATGGCACTTAGACTTATATATACCACTTCCCAGTGCTTTACAGCCCTCTCTAAGAGGTTTACAGAGTCAGCATATTGTCCCTGATAACCTGGGTCCTCCTTTTACTGACCTTGGAAGGATGGAAGGCTGAGTCAACCTTGAGCCGGTGAGGATTGAACTCCTGGCAGTGGGCAGTGAATTAGCCTGCAATACTACATTCTAACCACTGTGCCACCATGACTCTTGCAACCATTAAGCAAACACCGTGGTTGTTAAGTGAACCCTTTGTTCACTGTGGGGCAGTTTTTGCAGGAAACTGGAAGTAAATGCCAGTTTCTGGCAAAAAAATGTCATAAATTGTGGTCACATGACTGCAGGATGCTACAAATGACTGCAAATATGGTCCGGTTGCCAAGTCCAAAATATAATCACATGACCATGGGGGAGATGGACATCGGAACCTCAAAATCAAATCATAAATCTTTTTTCAGGGTCCATTGTAACTTTAAACATTTACTAAGCGGCCGGCTGTAAGTGGAGGATTACCTGTGCCACAACTGCACTGAAAAGACCTTCTGTGTCCTTGTATCCTTCAGAGGCTTTGAGTCTCTGCACAAATTACAAGCAGCAGAAACTGGCAAATCCTGGAGCTTTAATTACAAAGAGTCTTATGGCTTCCCCAGGGCATTCAGCTTTTGTGCTCCTAACCTTTTGTTCTGCTGGTTCCAGCATTAACCAAGGAGCAAGAATAGCAATGTCTTGCGTGTCTATTAGCCCCAAGACAAAAAGGCACAATATAAGCAATATCTGACCTCAGGAACATGCCCAGCATATATCAAATGCAGTGTGGAATTGTCAAGTCTCTGAATAATGATACAACAAAGACATCAGTTTTACAGCCTTACAACATTTAACATCCTGACCAAAGGCATAAAACAAAACAAAAAATTCACTTCTCACAGATCTAGATCTGAACGATCTATTATGCAATCCACTGGATATGTTACAATACAATAACCATTCTTTGCTTTAAAACAAGGAAGGAATATAAGAAGAAGATAACCTAAAGTTTGCAAGAGGAATATCCCGTTCTTCTAAATCAGTGGTTCTCAACCTTTTT